TTTTTAAGCTGCATTACTGATCATGTCACTGTGCTGCTTAAAACCCACGTCTCAGCATCCAGACCAGAATCATTATTGTGGCTATAGTGCTTCTCCACCTTATCTTGTTCTGGTGGCCTCTTCACAACCATATAGTAATCTGGTTTTGTACCTGGCACCCTGTCTGTCACAGTAAGTCATGATTTCCGATTATCTGTGTGGTCGTGAGGCAGGTCTGTATCCCCACCATGCTGTTGGCCCCTGAGGCAGGAACCGCATCTTTATGGCTTGCCATCGAGTCCCCAAGACCTGCCACAGTGCTGGGCACATAATTATGAAAACTAGCTTTCTTTCAGTCACATGTAACTATTCTCACATTCAGAATTAGCATTTTATTTTTCCTTATATTGTGATCTTAAATGTGTAAAAAACACAAATATGGAGCATATTTATTTTTTTACTGAAGGATAATTGCTTCACAGAATTTTGCTGTTTTCTGTCAAACCTCAACATGAATCAGCCATAGGCATACATATATCCCCTTCCTTTTGAACCTCCCTCCCATGTCCCACCCCATCCCACCCCTCTAGATTGATAGAGCCCCTGTTTGAGTTTTCTGAGCCATACAGCAAATTCCCACTGGCTGTCTATTTTACATGTGGTAATGTAAGTTTCCATGTTGAGCATACTTATTTTTAATAACTTTCACATGATTTCTAGATGTTTTGTCTATAATTATAGGATGGTATTATTTTCTATGTTATATTCCCTATTCCAAGTGTTTTCAGGCGTCATCCCATTTTACCTTCATAGTAATCATTAGAGGGGAAGTATTACCATCAGCCCCACTTTTCTAAGATAAGATTCAAGGAAGTCAAGTAATTTGACTGATGCTGTACCTAAGATTGTGGCTTCCCCAAGTGGCTCAGCGGTAAAGAACCCACTTGCAATGCAAGAACCACAAGAAATGTGTTCCCTGGGTCAGGAAGCTCCCCTGGAGGAGGGCATGGCAACTCACTCCACTATTCTTGCCTGGAGAATCCCTTGGACAAAGGAGTCTGATGGGCTACAGTTCACAGAGTCACAAAGAGTCAGATATGACTGAAGCGACTGAGCAGGCATGCATACCTAAGATTCAATCCAGTGCTTGTATGATTCTTCATGTTGTTGATATTTCATGATTACACCTACCACGTCTTTAGCAATCAAGTGCAGCCTTAGCCTGTTTCTCTGTTGTCATTTCCTTGTCATTCACTCAGCCAACAGATATTCATTAAGCTCCTATGATGTATGAGGCCCTGTGACTGTGCTTGGGATATGAATGGTTATCACGACAGGCAGTCTTTTTCTGTGGCATTACAATGCAGAGAGGGAAACAGGTGACCAACTTATCCATACATAGAGTCCACTAAATGCTGTGATGGGAAAGAACAGGGTTCTAAAGCAGCATGTATGGTGAGTGCGAAACCTGGAGGCAGGGATCCAGAAAGACATCCTTGAGGAATGGGTACTGATACTGAGTTATGGTGGCTGAGACATAGATGAGAAGTAAATGAGGCCAGATCAGAAACAACTTCGCAAGACATGTTGAAGAGTTTGAATTTCAAATGAATGGGAAGTTTACTAAAGGACTTCCAGCATCATACAAGTGCCATGTCAGATTTGTGGTTCAGCGATATAGCTCTGACTCCAGTGTATAGCCAGGGTTGGGCTGGAGAAAGAATAAAGACAAAAGAACTGACTTAACCAGTGAGAACTAGTGGTCACAGGAGTGGATGATGAAGTTGTGTGATGGGGATAAAGGTCCATGAAAACAGAGGCATTAAAGTGACATTGATGAGATAGATTCATAGGACTTGGTCATTGAGAGCATGTAAGATATGGGGCCCAGGGATGAAATGCAGGTTCTGGCAGGGGCAGGGATTAGTGCCATTCACTAGAGAAGGGAACGCTAGAGGAAATGGGTTTGGAAGAGAAAAGATAGCCTGGACAAGCAAAGGTTCAATTGCTTTAAAGAACCTCCCTTTGGTCTATTGGTCACTCGCATGCATCTGTGTTCTTCCACTTCTGGGAATCCTAGAGCCTTCTGCCCTGACAGTCTCCCCAGGAGAGACCTAGGTATGTAGACTATCCCTCCACCAGTTGCCATTTCTTTCTTGCCTTGTAGCCGTCTCCTTTCTATGCCCAAGTTCAGAGTCCATATTCCTCTTCTCCAATGCCTGTTTCTTGTGATCCATAACCAGGATCCGGATCAGAATGGTTCAGTAGCCTACTCCTTACAGTTACCTGGGCACACACCAGAGCCAGGACGATGGGCCAGATCTCATCATCATGGCTCTTTTTGTATCCTGTACCTGGATATCCCCAAGGCCTAGAGTCAGAGGGTTTGTAGACCAAATGTATAGGGGATAATTATAGGAATCCCATCTATTTCCCTTAAGAAATTTAATTAATAAATAAATTCAACTTATAATGTCACCTCCCTAGGAGTATCTTGCTTGCTAAATTGAAAAAGTGGATCCATAACATTAAGAAATATATTATTCGTATTTGTTGTGTGATAAATAAAGAAGTTTGCAAATTTGGAATCACAGAAATCTGAATTTATCCAAATCTAAGAAATATTTAAGGAATTCAGTTGGAAAGTGATTTGTATTCCTCTGTTCCAAACCATAGATTGGCCAAAAAGATTTTCTTTTTCTTTCGACATGACTCACGTTATTCATTTGTTCGTGTAAAATGTGTTGTCTCTATGTACCAGGTACTACCACTTTTGATTTCAAGCATTTTTTCCATTTAATGAACACCATCTCCACTTCGGGCTTCCGTGGTAGCTCACTGGCAAAGAATTTGCCTGCCAATGCAGGACATGCAGGTTCTATCCCTATGTCGGGAAGATCCCCTAGAGAAGGAAATGGCAACTCACTCCAGTATTCTTGCCTAGGAAATCCCATGGACAGAGGAGACTGGCATGCTACAGTTCATGGGGTTCAAAAAAAGTCAGACATGACTTAGCAACTAAACAACAACAGTCCCCACTTTACAGATGAGGAAAGTGAGGCCCTAAGTCAAGGCTTAAAGGGTATGCACTTGTAGGAGAATAGCCAGATTTGGACCTATGTCTTTGGACTCCAAATGCAGTGTTTATTTCAACTTCAAGTCCAGGAGCTTGATAGATGTTAGTTTTGTTTTTCAAATACAGTGTCAGAAGTGAACAAAGAGATAAGAGACTAAAACTTGAAAGTTGTTGGTGGAAAAGCATAGGTGGCGTGTACAATTCTCAGAAATGAAAACGTAAGTCTATATCAAGCTGGCTGAAAAAGTTCATTTGGGTTTTTCCATAAAATCTTATTTCAGAAGCCAAACAAACTTTTTGGTCAACCCAATACTTCATTGAGAAAGACAACATATTTTTTAAACACCAAAGTGTAATGAAAAGTGAACCTTAAACTTGATGAAGATATGGAGAATTTAGAACTCTCACACTCCTGATGGGAGTGTAAAACAGTACTACTATTTTAAAAAACACTTTGGAAGTTTCATAATGAAACATACACCTACCATACAACCTAGCCATTTCGTTTCTACGTATTTACCAAAGAAATGGAAGTGTATGTCTATACAGTTTTGTACATGATTGTTCATAGAATTTTATTCATAATAACCAATAACTGGATGACATAATAACCAAATGTCTACCAGCAGGGGAGTTGATAAACAATTTGTGGTATAGCTATTTAATAGGATACCATACAGCAATAAAAAAGAACAAACTATTGTCATGCAACAACATAGATAATTCTCAAGATCATTACACTAATTAAAAGGATACAGACAAAAAAAAAGAGTACGTATTGTATGATTCCAGCCATATAGAATTCTAGGAAATTGTGATAGAAAACAGATCTTTGGTTTCCCAGGATGGAGTGGTAGGATGGATGAGAATGTACATAAGGAGACCTGTGGGGGTGATACACATGTCCATTGTCTTAATTGTGGTGATGGTGTCTGGGAACGTCATAACAAGACTTTGGGGTGAAGAGAAGACACAGAAACAAATTTCTTGACTATCCTAGCAAAAGTAACCATGACTTAACTTACATGCACTTGCTAACAATGGCACCAACAAACTATTCTTGACCTTTAAGTCATCTGTGCCTTAGTTCTACTGCTTCATTGAAGAGGTAACTTTTCATTTTTCCCCTGCCTACCTTAGCTTTTCCTTTTTCCTTATTTCAAACCTTAGATGACTGAAAATATGTAAAGAAATTAAAATATTTTAAATGCTCAAATGCACTTCTGATAGCCTTTCAACCCTAGAATTTAAGAGTTGGTTTTCTCTTTTCTTTGTCAGGGGTCTGTGTGTACCAGTGGGAAAGTGCTTTAAGGCCAGATAGCCTTGTTAATTTTAATCACAAGTACTATATACTTCAAAGTTGCTAAGAAACTAGATCTTAAAAGTTCTCGCCACAAAGGAGAAATGACTATCAGGGGACCCAATGTGTTAGCCAGCAGTATGGTGGTAATCATCTTGTGGTATAGAAATGTGTCAAATCAATATAAAAATGATCAAATCATCACTTGAAACTTACACAGTGTTATATAGCAATTCTTTCTCAATGTTTTTAAAAGCCAGATAGACCTGGATACAAATGCCAGGTGACTTCCCTTGGACCTTTGTGTTTGTCAGTTAACTTTCTTGATCCTCAGATTCTTCACATTGTAAGTATTCCAAAGATCTATTATGAAGAATAACGGATTATTAAGAAGAATACTGTGATGTTCAGAAATAGTTCTCTACTGTGATGTTCATAAAATCATTGGTTTGCTGTTATACGTTGCACATCAGCTCTTTGAGATCCTGCAGTATGTACCTTTCTTTGCAAGTGTCAACCCCACCAGCAGTGGAACACATACCGAGGCACCTTGACAAAACAGGACAAGTGGTACATGTGAAATAATGAATCTACCTTTCCATGCACTCTGGGCTGATGCGTCCTCTCTGCTTTCATTGTATACAGTGCACCTGGTGGACATTTGGAACGTCATAGAAGCGTTGAGAGAAAATGCTCTGAACAACGTGGACCCAAACATGGAGCTCAGCGTGGCCCGATTGGAGGCTGTGCTCTCCACCATCTTTTACCAGCTCAACAAAAGGATGCCAACCACTCACCAAATCCAGGTGGAGCAGTCCATCAGCCTCCTGTTAAACTTCCTGCTGGCAGCCTTTGATCCGTAAGCTCCCTCTGAAATGTCTGTGACTCTGCGTGTTCCGTCTCCCCTTCCTCTTATCCTTCTTGGTCTTTATCCCAAAGAATTTTCTGGAGTAACCAACTGCTGCTTTTTTCTTGTTCAGATACTTATCTCAATAGAGTTTCTATGTGTGTAAGGTAAATTTTAAATGCTTTGGAAAAGACTTAGAGCATAAAATGGCACCACAGGAAATTGGGGACACTTGTATTTTATGTGCTGACCTTTGTTTAATTCATCCTACGCTTCCTGGAAGCTACGGACACTTGGAAGCGTCACGTGGTGGCAGGCCTGTGGAGCAATTTAATGAAGCGTGTTGTGGAGGATGTTTTTAACTCTCTCCTTTGCAAATTGTCTAAGACAGCACTTCTGAGGTCTCATAACAAGACCCCAGGGCAAACAAAGAGGTGTTGAACAGGCTTCCTTCCTTGACTAGTCTAGTAAAAATAGCTGTGACTTGCATTAAACGGACTGGTTTATAATGTACTACGTAAAACAAAGTGATGCCATTTCACGCATCACAACTGAGACCCAGCCTCATTATCTTAAACTTCCCCTCACAGGCTCAGAGAATTTCAGAGCTGTCTGAGATCTTAAAGGTCGTTCTTCCAAACTTCTCATTTTACTGGTGAAGGACCCGAAGCACAGAGAGATTGTCACTTGTCCAGTGACGATCAGCAGGTCCACTGACTTTCAGCAGGATAGTGGCATAGTGAGGACTTAGGGATTCAGCTTCGATTTCTTTTCCCAGGCACATGTGGCAGCCCTGAAAAATGTAAAACCTCCCCTGAACCCCACTATCAGATGAAAATTTCAAAAAGGCTTTTGATGATAGCCCCAAGGCTAGATATAGGATCAACACCTCCAATTTCACTCCTCGTTTTGAATATTAAAAAGAAAAATCGCTAGCTTGACCTTTCAGCAATCCCTTTTAAGATCAGAATATTTTGCTTATTCTCGTTGTCTAGCCAAGGCTTGGGAATAATTAAGCCCAGCACTGGAGATGTTCCAGCCAGGCGAATGTCATTATGCCACTCACAAAAGTCACCAGCTGTCACTTTGCAACCTAGCATGGTGATAGGAGAGTTGGTGCTCAGGTTGACCAGTATACATTTTTGTCTCTGTGTTTATATTTTAAGAAACTCTCAAGTTGAAATAAACAAGCAGTCCAGCCTGATAAATTCCATTTATCTTAATCTGTGCAGCGTTCAGAACTGATGTACTGCTCTGGGCTCATCACTGTGGTAGTCAAGCGGCAGGGCTGGGAAAGGAAGCGGTGGTTCCACATGACAGGCAGCAGAGTGGAACCAAGCCGTGGAATTTCTATAACAAAACCATGGCAGCTTTCAGACCTGTTGCTAAAGCCTTCAGGAGGCTTATTTGTTATCAGTGTAACGATGGAAAATGTAAACAGAAAGAGGTAATTTCCTGCTACCTCATGGGGTATTGCTAGAGGATTCATAAGGAATCAAAGCTAAAAAATAATTTGGGCCAACTCTGAAAATTCAGAAATGGGGCCAAATTAGCAATAAGGGTTGGGGGTGTTGTGAAATAGATGGAGCTTAAACTAATAGAATTTTCACTTTTGCTTGGGAATACCGGGAAGAGCATTTCAAAAAGCCGAGCTGTAAATGTTCTCTAAATAGCTCTGCTAATGTAGCTGAATCATTTGAAGATTGCTGGATGCTAAACTAAGAAGGATTATACCAAGATAAAGAGTAGTTCACACGGATGTTCACAAGAAATGTTTGGTTCCTAATCTTCTTACCAATGGGAAGGCCCCTGGTGTCTTCTTTCAGTAATCTCATTGTAGTAGATTTAGAAACACATCCACACAGAGAAGTCTCACTGTAGAGATTCACAGATGCATCCATCTAGAGACCGACCCCAGTCTGCACACACTTCTGCATTCTCTCCTTCAGCAGATCCAATGAGTACAGGTCTACTAAAAAACAAGTTTTCCATCTGATGGATTTTAAAATTTTAGACACTGTGAGTGCCTCTCATAAGGAAGTCCACTACCTGGAAATATAATGTACAAGTGAATATAAGAATAGAAACAAGAATAAAATGAATGTTATATTCCAACTCTTCTGATAGTATACTTCTAGTTATCCAAATGAGATCTAGTATGGAAATCTGATGTCATTTCCTACCACCTGTCCCATAACTAACATATGCAAGTATTTATTTTTTATTGAACTATAGTTGATTTACAATATTGTATTCATTTCTGAGAAACAGCAAAGTGATTAAATTATATATATACAGATATTTCTTTTTTATATTCTTTTTCATTATGTTTTATCATAGGATACTGAATATACTTCCCCATGCTAGGCAGTAGGATCTTGTTGTTTATTCATTCCATATATAATAGCTTACATCTGCTAACCCCGCCCTCCCACTCCATCCCTCCTCCAGCCCCTCCCCTTGGCAACCACATAATTGTTCTCTATGACCCTCAGTCTGTTACTGTTTCATAGATAGGTTCATTTGTGTCATAATTTAGATTCCACATATAAGTGATATCATATGGTATTTGTCTTTCTCTTTCTGACTTACTTTACTTGGTATGATAATCTTTAGTTGGATGCATATTGCTGCAAATGGCATTATTTTACAGAACCCAAGTGTTTAAGGGAGGCCAGGAGTTTGTGATGGACAGGGAGGCCTGGCGTGCTGTGATTCATGGGGTCGCAAAGAGTCGGACACGACTGAGCAACTGAACTGAACTGAACTGAACTGGTGGTTCAGTCGGTAAGCGTCTGCCTGCAACACAGGAGACCTAGGTTCGATCCCTGGAGAAGGAAATGGCACTCCAGTACTCTTGCCTGGAAAATTCCATGGCTGGAGGAGCCTGGTGGACTACAGTCCATGGGGCCACAAAGAGTCGGACACGACTAAGCGACTTCACTTTCTTTCTGTATCTTGGTAGGCATGAATGAGCCTGATAGTGGTAGATCAATGATGTGCTTTTGCTATTACAGACTTTCCCCTCATTTGCTATATTTTAATTGCTCATATTAAAAAAAAAAGAGGGAAAATGCATAATAAGTTAGAGATGCCATAATATTCTGGACTTTAAAGAGGTACTGTTTAAAAAAAATTGAAGAAAATACAGAAATTTAAACCCATGAAAAATAAGAACTTGCATTCAAAGAAATATGGCTATTATTTTGCTTGTGCCTTAAGGTTCACCAACCTCAGCCAGTTGAACTCTGCCAAGAAAATAGTGACCTGAAATGAGGATCAAGTCCCACTTGACTTGGAGGCACCCCTGGGCACCAGACTTACCTTCCCACAACCACAGTCCCCCAAGAACAGCACTCTCCCATTTCTCTCCACCACTCTCCCCCAACCACCTGGATCTCTGTTCTCACATAGCATGCTTCCCATAGACTGTAATCAGTTCCCTGGTTTTGAGGTTTCTCTGCTCTTTGGCCAAGTCAGTCTCATGATGCAGTACATCACTGCATACATAGGGTGATTCATATACTTCAGGAGCTGGCATTTGCCTCCAATGCCTGGACTTCCCAGGTGGCGTGTGTGGTAAAGAACCTGCCTGCCAGTGCAGGAGACATGAGACACTTGTTTGATCCCTGGGTCAGGAAGATCCCCTGGAGGAGGGCATGGCTACCCACTCCAGTATTCTTGCCTAGAGAATGCCATGGACAGGGGAGCCTGGCGGGCTATAGTCTATGGTGTCGCACAAAGAGTCAGGCACGACTGAAGTGACTTAGCATGGCATGGCATGGCCTACAGATGCTTGCCATTCTGTCACTGAATAGGCAGTCACTTCAGGCTAGAAGGTTTTTGTTTTGAGCACTTTCCTTCTAAAGATGGATGCTTGGGAGGGATATCACCCAGCAGGCTATTACCTAACAGCTTCCAAGCAGACTGGTTCCATATCTGAAAGCTTTCTTCTCTGAGTGTCTCTAGGGAAATGGAGAGCTGTGGCTGAGAAGCATGGGAAAGGAGGTCTCAGAAGAGGAGAGCAGGGGCTTAGAGGGAAGAAGGATGTGAGGAAATAACCAGAGCCTTGAGCCCATCTCTTCCTGTCTCTGCCCTTCTGTGCTCCCCCGGGAACCCACCTGCCTCCTTCCTTTATCTGCTGGCAGGAGCCTTCCCTGAGGCTCTTTCCTTCTTGAGCCAATAACTCTAACTTACACCACTTTTCCTCTCACCTCTTGTCCATATCCCAGTGGGGGGAAAAAATCTCTTTGAAGTGTTCTAAGGCCTTCTACTGTTATTACTTTTTAGGCAGTTGAAACTAACAAAAGAAAAAAATACAGGACCGAAAATTACAAGATGAAAATAATTCTCGTCTTAAAAAAAAAATAGTTTTATTGAGGTACCATGGTTACCTTGAGAATAATCCTTCAAAGTCAATCACGTGTGGCCTTTTGGAGAGATGGGGTCATAGACGCTGATACACTGTGAAGCCCTTCACCTCTCGTGGTGGAGCTGCTCATCCTTTGCCAGGGCCCACTGCTCCTTTCATGGGACTCTGATGGTCTCTTAGAGTGGGGGCCTCTCGCCTTGTGTGACTGCCTCATACAAGCTGCTTTTAAGTCTTTTCCTTTGTATGCACAGCATCTGAGCTAATATCCAGCTCATAATGAATCAGTGAATGAATGAATGAAAATCAGAGGTTGACTTTTCTCAGTTCTTTATCACACTAATTTCTTTTCATTCTTTTTCTGAGGTTAAGTCCTCCTTAATCTCCAGTCTGTATGGTCAAAGCTGTGGTTTTTCCAGTAGTCATGTATGGATGTGAGAGTTGGACAATAAAAAAGGCTGAGTGCCGAAGAATTGATGCTTTGGAATGGTGGTGTTGGGGAAGACTCTTGAGAGTCCCTTGGACAGCAAGGAGCTCCAACTAGTCCATCCTAAAGGAAATCAGTCCTAAATATTCATTGGAAGGACTGATGCTGAAGCAGAAGCTCAATACTTTGGCCGCCTGATGAGAAAAGCCAACTCAG